GCTCCCACCATCTTTTCTTGCTCACAGCAAAATCTCAGCCTGCTCCAAGGGCATCCTGAACCCCGTGGAGCTCCAGAAAAACTACTCCTACGTCATCGAGAAGTAAGGCTGCCCCTCCCCCAGCACCCAGGGCAGGGCAGCAGTGAGGGGGCTGACAGCTGGCCAGAGGGAGTCCATGCTGGGCGAGGACCAGAGCCAGGAGGTCGCCGCCCACAGGGCCAAGCCACCCAGAAAGAGCCACCGTGCCAGGCCCTGGGCGTCCCTGGATAACGCCCCAGCTGCCCCGGCTCTGGGTCTCCCCCGAGGTAGCGGGACCGCTGGGCATTCCCAGCCTGGACGGGAGGGTGCAGCGGACCAGGGCCTGGTGGCCACACTTGTAGTCCCTGACCCCGGGGCTGAGGCAGGAGTGTCACCTGAGCTCATGAGCCAGAGACCAGCCGTGGCGGCATAGTCAGGCCCTGTCGCCCGAGACAAGCAACCGGACTCTCTGTGCCGGACGCGAGGCCTCGCCACTGCCCTCGACGCCACAGCACAAGAGCCATCACCGACACCTACAAGTGGGTTCGCAGGCCACCACAGGTGACACACAGGTTCTGCGAAACACCACACCTTACCGTTCATTTTCCAGCACCGGGAATTGTCCCGGGGCACTTATCCACTGAGCCCCAGCCCCAGCCCTTTTTTTTAAATATATTTTTTTAGTTGTAGATGGACACAAGAGCTTTGTTTTTGTTTATTACTTTTTTTTAATGTGGTGCTGAGGATCAAACCCAGGGCCTCACGTGGCAAGGTGAGCGCTCTACCATTGAGCCACATCCCCAGTCCCCTCCCAGCCCTTTTTAAAAAGCATTTTATTTAGAGACAGGGTCTCTCCAAGTTGCCTAGGGCCTCGCTAAGTTGCTGAGGCTGGTTTTGAACTCGCCACCCTCCTGCCTCAGCCTCCCGAGCTGCTGGGATGCCACCAACCTGGCCACCAACCTGGCATATTGCACTTTTTTACATAAGGGACTCAAGCATCTGTGGATTTGGGAGTCCTCGGGGGATCCCAGAACCCATCCCCGTAGGACTAATCCCCTTCGGATCCTGAGGGATGCCTGTAGCTATAGATACGGAGGGAGGGAAGGAGAAAGACTGTAAGGAATTGGCTGAGGCCCGGAACTTCGGACGTCTGCAGGGTAGTGGAAACTGGAGCCCAGAAAAGAGCTGCAGTTTGAGCCACATGGCCATCCGCTACGGCACAAGGGTTGGGATTGGGGGCAGGTAGGTGTTTGTTCTGTTCCGGCCTTCGCCTGATTCGGGCAGGCCCACCCAACATGTGGGTCCCCCACAGCACTCAAAGAGCCCTGATGTAAACGTCAGTCTCATTCAGAAACCAGAAAAGACGCCTTCACACAAACAGCCAAGGCCTGGACCCAGTGATCCGGCCACATTGATACACAAAATCAACAGGAAATCCCAGTGTCTCTGGGTCTTGACTGTGAAGCTTGCCCCCTAGATGTCACCTCCATTCTGGTGAAAGTCCCTGTTGCAGAGGGAAAACAGGCGGCAAAGGGCCCGGCAGTGGGCAGGAGCTGACCCCACTGCCCGTGGCTGCTTCCTGCTCTCTTAAAGGGAATTCTACGACTCCAGCTACCAGGGGCAGCGGTCCGACGAGGACCTGGTGGTGCAGTACTCGTACAAGGACCTGGGCTGCCCGCGACTCGTCTACTACGACACCCCCTGGAAGCCCGTGATCGAGCTGTAAGAGCCCCGTGGGTGCCCAGCTTGGGGACACCTCCGGGCCCTTGCCTCAGGCCCACCTGGTCGGGGGCCTCCTCAGGGCGGTGGTCACTCTGCCCTCTGGGATCACAGCGTGTGCCACTGCACCAGGCCCAGCTTGCTTTTCAAATATTTGTCACTTGCCTCTGGTTGGTGGGACCCACGGTGCAGCTGCCACGTGAGGGGAGCCAACTAAGCTGCAGATGTCACCGGAAACCTCTGGGGCCGGGGAAGCGTCCTGTTTGCTTGGGCAGGGTGCCGCTGGGTGATGGCATGCTTAGCGTGTGCAAGGCCCGGGTCCTCACACGTGCCCAGTGTGCGGGTGGGATTTGTCCCTGTGCTTATCATGACCTTACTCGGTTCCCACACACGGCATCAGCTTCTTCCCGTCCCTGCTCATCGGTCCCTCTCAGGCTGCTGCCCGGTGCCTGGCCCCGACTCTGTCCCCTCTCCCTGCACTTGGCGCGGCCCCCCACCCCCAGGACAGGTCCACGCAGCGGGCAGCTGTGGCAGAGGTCTTCTCAGTCCTTGGAGCAGCCCTGCCCCGCTGTGTCCCAGGTGGCGGAAGTCGGACTTCCAGGAGGTGGTGAGCGCCGAGTACGTGCTGCTGGAGGTGAACGGGGTGTTCACCTACTCCTACGCCATGACCGCGGGCTCCGCCTCGTGCCTCAGCCAGCCCCAGAACTGGACCAGCGTCCTGGAGACGTCCTCCAAGAAGGGACCCTTCTCCTGGAACAGAGAGGTAGCGCTGACCCTCTGGCCTGCACAGGTCATGCCTGGATGAGGGGGAGGGCCGCAGCCCCGGGGGGAAGGGAGAGCGTGGCACTGGGCCGTCCTTTGGAAATCCGCAAGGGAACTGACCACGGTCCGCTGGGCCCTGCTGCGGGGGTGAGCCCGCCGGGCGCCACCTCCGCGGACTGACTCAGCTCAGGGTCCGAGCCCCGCGAGCGTTTCCACAATACGGGGTGGTCCGTGGTCAGCCGCTGGCGCTCGTCCCCTGCCTGGTTCGAGGCCGAGCGCAGGGCGGTGCCGCCAGCAGGGGCAGCGAGGTGACCGGCTCCCGGTCTCGCGGCCCTGGTCCTGTGGGTTCACCTTGAGGGTGCTGAGGAGGCACCCAGGGCCGGACACGTGCGCGGCGAGCGCTCTGCCGCGGAGCCCCAGCCCCAGCCCGTCAAGGGCTCTGGCTATCGCCGCGTTAGTGTCGCTTTCCCTGTTTTTAAAGATGAAACTCGCTTCACATTCCATGAACTTTGGGGGTTCTGGAGTCGGACCCAGCGGGGCGCCATCGCTGAGCCCCAGCCCTTTCTCATTTTTACTTTGAGAAGGTCTTGCCAAGTTGCCGAGGCTGGCCTTGAACTTGCAGCCTCCCGCCCAGCGTCCACTCAGTGGAGGGGCAGGCATGTGCCACCGTGCCCAGCACTGTGGTGACTTGTTTTCTTTTTTAATAGTTTTTTTTTTAGTTGTAGTGGGACACAACACCTTTAATTTATTTATTTACTTTCACGTGGTGCTGAGGACGGAACCCAGGGCTTGTGCATGCTCATCGAGCGCTGTCCGCTGAGTCCCGGCCCAGCCCCGGCTCAGGTGACTTTTTAAGGGAGAATGTGTCAGAGTTCCGCACCACATAGTATTTCGGTCACCGACAGACGGCATGTGTGGCCATGCTCCAGTGAGATCAGGATAGGGCTGAGGACGCCCTGTCACCTGGGACCTCGTGTGCTGGGGCCGTGCAGCTCTGGACACACCACTGAGCGGCCAGTCGCCCAGTAGCACAGCGCAGGCAGCTGTGCTGGGCCGTGCAGCTGTGGGGCTGATGAAGGCGCCTGGTTCCTGTGTTCCCTGAGGCTGGGACCCAGGGCCTCAGGCAGGCCAGACGCACTGCCCTGCTCTGCGGTGCACTGTGGCTTTCAGACACCCCGAGACGGGCACTGTCCCGGAACCCCGTCCTGTGGAGCTGCGTCTCTGATGGCTAGAGACTGAATGGTGTGCAGTTCCGCAGGGTCCCAGGCCTCCCCACTGCAGGCTTGTCCCAAGGTGCCCGGGGACGCGCGCACCAGAGTGTGCTCGCGTGTCCTGCAGCGAGGACCTTGTCCAGGGACACCTTCACTCCTTTGTGCTGGGTCCTGTGTCCTCGGCGTTTTCTTGCGGGCTGGGGTCTCCTCTTGGTTTTCGAGAGCTCGTGGCTGATGGCAGGCCCCGTGCCATCCCCGGGTGGTCTCTGCCAAACTACCCCTGGACTCCCTGTTGCTCTCCTTTGCTGCTGGATCTTCCCTCTCTGCTCACCTGCCTCCCTCTGGGAGGCTCCGGGCAGGCAGAGGACCCAAGCGTAGGGCCGGGAGGTGGCCTGGGTCCTGGCTGAGGGCAGCCAGCATTCTGGGCCAGCCGCGGGCTTCCTGGGTGAGGGCGGGCTGGTGCGGGTGGACAGGCTGACAGCCCTGGGGAAGGCCAGCTTGCCAAGCTGGAGTCATCTGCAGACCCCTCAGGCTGACGGCCAGGGGCCTCCGCCTCCACAGAGCAGTGGGCACCCTGCTCCCCGAGGCCCAGCAGGAGGCTGCAAGTCCAAGGCCGGCCCCAGAACTCAGCGTAACAGGGCTGGGGTGTGGCTCAGAGGTAGAGCAGCTGGGCGAGGAGCAAGCCCCTACCCACGACAATCCCGGATGGACGCGCAGGAGTCGCAGCAGGGCACTGTTCACCTACCTCCAAGTGTCACCCGAGAATCTGGGGACAGGACAGAAAGCTGCCACCTCGACTGGTCCCCCTGACCTGGCTGCATCGAGCCAACAACAGCCCCCGGAGGGGAGTCCGGGCTCCACCCTCCCGGATCCCAACGTGGAGCCCCCCGGGCGGCTCCTCCCGGGCTGTGAGGAAGCCCGTCCCTGGCCCTCTTGGCCAGCCTTGGCCTTCTTGGCCTGTGGACGTGCACCCCACCTCTCCCTCACCCACATGGGGGTCCCCTGTGCCTGTGAGGGTGCAGTGGAGGGTGGCAGGCAGCTCCGGGAGGACAGGCCAGGGCCAGTGGCATGCTTCTGTCCCCTCCCTAGAACTACATAAGCTGCCGCGACAGCAGCAGCAACCTCACTGCCTTGGAGTGGCCCGATGTCCAGTACCAGGTCCTGGGGGGCCTAACGGACAACGAGATCATCTTCGACCAAAGGAACGGGTTCTACATCTTCCACCTGTCCATCGTGGACCCCTACTACAGGTCAGCTGGTCCGCCCTGCACCAGGGCCACCTGGCAAACTGGGGGCAGGCTCTGTGGGGTGGGCCACACCTGTGCAGGGTACCCTTTATGCCCCTCCCTCACCGGCTGGTAGATTCTGACTGAACTGACTTCCCATGGGGCACCGGGGCCACAACTGTCATCCCAGTGACTCTGGAGGCTGAGGCAGGAGGATTGCAAGTTGGAGGCCAGCCCTAACGACTTAGCAAGATCCTGTCTCAAAATAAAAGTTAAAAGGCTGGGGTGTGGCTCAGCGGTAGGGCGCTTGCCTGCCTCCCACACGTGAGGCCCTGTCTCTGTCCCCAGCGGTACCAAACAACAGAACAAAAATCCCAGCTCAGACTGTCCCACAGAGTGACGATTTTAAGTTCTAGTTGACATTTGTTCATTCGGGAAGTCCTGGCCCTCTGTGGATTCTGCATCTGCAAGTTAAACCACCCACTGGTCACAATGTTTAAAGACTCCTGTCTGTACTGCACACTTACAGGGTTTTTTCTGGCCACCATTCCCTAAGTCACACACAACAACAACCACTACACGGCCCAGGGCCAGGGGTCCGTCCCTCAGGGGTCCTTCCGGCCCTGGGAGGACACAGGTTCTGTGCCCAGACTGCCCGTTTCACACAGGGGACAGCTGGATTTCAGATTCACAGCCAGTGTTCCTGCCACCTCCAGTGGGGGACACGGTGGGGCAGGCCGCAGGCAGCTCAGCCACTCAGGGCTGCCGGCCTCGGGGGAAGGGGGACTGACGACTTGCATGGGGGTGGCTCCAGGCAGCCTCTCCCATCAGACGTCCCCACCCAGGGGCGTCAGGAGCACCTGGAGCCAGCCCTGTACTGGTGGCCAGTGTCCCCCTGGGGACAACACAGGCGACTTCCTCACCCTGCTTGAGTCCTCTCTGCCATCACCGTGGAGGAAGGTCCACCTAGATGTCCATGGGGCCTCCTGGGCCCAGTGCTGGTGCCCACTGCGATGCCCCCTCAGTCCGCAGCCCGCTGTCCTGCCTCGGGTCTGACGTGCAGGCGGGGGCCCTGCGGCTGTCCCAGCGCCTCCCCTCCTGCCCCCGCAGCTACTGCCAGCTGGAGACCACCTTCAGCATCTACGTGTACGGGGCCTACCCGCGCAGAGCCATCCCGCCCGAGGCCGCCATCGTGCTGCTCGTGAGCGGCCTCCTGCTGGCCGTATGGCTGGCCCACCTCGTCCTGCACACCAAGGAGGGCCACAGGTGCCAACAGTGCTGTGCCAGCCTGTGCTGCTGCGGCTGTGCCAGGGCCAGGCACCGAAGCCCCGCCCCGCCAGGGCTGAGCACGGGGCCTCGGAGTAAAGCGTCAGACTGAGCAGGCAGCAGGCGCCTTCTTCCCACTCCCCGCCGGCAGGAGTCGCCGTGGGTCTTGCTGGGGGTGGAACCCAGAGGGCCCAGGCCGGGAGGGTGCTCTGCCTTGGGGACACACCCCGGTCCTTTTTCTTTTTCCTTTGGTACCGGGGATTGAACTCAGGGGCACTGGACCACACCCCAGCCCTGTTTTGTATTTTGAGACAGGGCTCCCTGAGTGGCTTAGCGCCGCGCTTTGCTGAGGCTGGCTTTGAACATGTGATCCTCCTGCCTCAGCCTCCCAAGCTGCTGGGATGACAGGTGTGGCCGATGCACTCAATCCTCACTGATTCTGTGACACTGTGGCATCCCGAAGCCAAGCCCATAGGACCATGGTTTCCTAGAGACGATACTCAGTGCCATCTCCACAAACCTCACGTCTGTAACGTGCAAACCAAGCAGTGCCCAGCGCAGGCTCCCAGCCTCCCGTCACTGGGATCCTGCAGTCCAGGGCCAGCCCCAGGGCCGGGAGCCTACCACACAGAGCCTGCCCACCCTTTGCCTTTTGTGCCAAAACCACAGCAGGGACCCTGCCTTGTGTTCCCAGCTCCCTCTGCGCCCGGCCAGTCCTGTGCTTCTGGGCAGCCCTGCCTCCTCCCCTCCGCTCACTTGGCTGGACCGATGATGAGGGTCCACGCCATGTCAGACCTCAGCTCACGAAGCTGAGCACGGTGGCGCACCCCGCCAGGTCCCAGGCCCCCTGGGCTCCCCCAGCACAGACCTCGGGTCCCCGGATGAATGTCCCAGCACCAGGGGACAGCCCAGGGTGGGCAGGACTCCCAGCCCATCCTGGGAGGAGCAGGCCAGGCGAGCCATCCCACAGGGGTGTCCCAGGAGGGGCGGCCTGCCACCTGCTGTTTGGTCACACGTTCCTAGGGGTGGCACCCCTCAGGGTCACCTTGGGCACAGCAGAAAGGCAAGGGAAGGCCTGTGCATGGGCAGTCCCACGGGATAAGGGGGGAGGCTGAGGACATTGGCGCCTGGGGTCACCCTGCCCTTCCTGGGCTGGGCTGTCTCTGGCTTCTCACATCAGCACCTAGGCAGTCCCACTGGAGCCCTGCTGGACACCCTCACCGGGGCTCAGGGGCCACGTGCCACACGTGCCCCGCCCTCCTTACTGGGCCTCCCTCCTGCACCCGCCTCACCCACCCTGAGCCAGCGCTGCCCCCACCACAGGGGGGTCTGCTCGTGCCCAACCCTCACCACCCGGCCAGTCGGCAGCACCAGCCCAGCCCCTGGCCTGCCTCCCCTCGCCCACCACTGGCCCAGGGCTGCAGCAAGGCCTCCCATGGCCCCAGGCTCCACAGAGGCCGCACAGAGTCAGGGCCTCTCCCACCCATGCAGCTTCCTGGGACGCAGGGCAGACAGTAGGGTACAGACCGAGCGTGCTGGCCACTCCCTGGGAAACCTTGATTTCCACCACCAAACACAGAAGTCAAGTCCTCGTGCTGGATGGACGCAGTGCCGCGCACCCGTGATCCCGGCTATCAGAGCTCCTGAGGACTTAGCAAGACTGTTCCAAAATGAAAACGGCTGGGGATGGGGCTCAGTGGAAGAGCACCCCCAGGGTTCCTTCCAGAACCAGAAAAAACAAGTTCCCCACTTCCTGAGGACCCCTGCTCGGGCCCTCTGGCACAGGGACTAGCCTGTCTCCTGCGAGTAGCCCTGGAGGCCAGCATCACCAAGTGCTGGGTCCTGCCCGACCTCAGCACGCAGCAGGGCACAGCCTTGCCTTCCCTCAGACGCGGGCCAGGGCCCAGGTGTCCGCACACAGCCTCCTGCCCCTGGAGGCCAAGGGACGCCAAGCTGAGAGATCAAAACTTTTAATGGGGGGTGACTCCCAGGTCCTGCCGCGGCCCCACGGGGGCTGCCACCTGCCTGCCCTTGCCACCCAGCTTCCCCTTCCTGACGGCAGAGGCAGCCTTCTTCTTCCCCGGGGGGTCAGACCTCAGGACAGGGGCCGCAGGGTCAGCAGCAGGGGGCCCCAGGCGGGGCGGCGGGTCCTCGTCAAGCGCCTTGAAGTTGAAAAAGCAGTCCACGTTGGACACGGTGTCCAGGATCTCGGGCACGCTGTAGTCGAAGGACAGCAGCTCGTCGGGCAGGTGCAGGGAGCGGATGTCACTGGAGGAGTCGCCGCCGCCGCCCCCGCCCCCGCAGTCGGGCAGGCCGGGCCTGGGCAGCTTGCGCGGGGTGGCCTCGGGCTCCGCGCCGGCGGGCAGGCAGTCGAAGAGCTTCATGGCGTCCTCTAGCAGCACCTTGTCCGGCAGCACGAAGGCCCGCGCCGCCTCCGGGGCCTTGGTCTCCCCGGGACCCGTGGCGTGCGGCAGGCTGGGCACGGCCCCACTGCCACCCTGCGGCTCCTTGGTGGGGACAGCCAGGGGCTCGCTGGGCCGTGCGGCCCCCTCAGACCCGTGGACTTGGCCGAGGTGGCCCTTGAGGGGGCCGTAGGTGCTGGGGGGCAGGGTGGCCTCGGTGGGCAGCGTGACGAGCAGCGGGGGCAGCTTGCTCTCCTTGGGGGGCGCCAGGCTCTCCTTGAGCAGCGGCGGGGGTAGGTCCACAAAGGCGGGGGGCCCCCCATCGCCCACAAAGCCCAGGGCCTCGGGCCCAGGTCCCTCAGGGGGGAAGTAGGGCATGAGGTACTGGGACCCCCCGGGCGCCGGCTGGTAGTGGGGGTACGGTGGCGGGGCTGGCACGGGGCCCTTGAGGTAGCGCTGCGGCTCCAGGAGGTAGCTGCCTGGCGAGGCGGGGCCCCCAGCCACGGCCAGCTTGTACAGGGACGACTGGCCAAAGTCGGTGGTGGCCCACTCGATTCGGTAGATGCGGGGGTCGAAGAAGCAGCCGCATGGCGCCATCTGGAAGCCTGCAGGCAGCGGGCGTGGGCACCCACGGGGTTGGGACAGGGGCCTCCTGACTAAGGGCCCCTCGCTCTGAACTCTCTGGGGGCCTGTCTGGGCGAGGACATGGCTTTCTCCCCAGCTTCCTGAGGGATGGTGGCCCCAGGCTTTGCTTCGGGGACCCACTGGGATCGGGCCTCACTCTGGGTCCCCACGGGCAGGGCCCAGGGCATGCTCTGAGGCTGGGCAAGGTGGGGGGCAGAGCTTGCCTCTGGGGGACCCGGGGAGCAAGGCAAGCGACCTGCCTTGTGGCACAGAGGACTGGCCCCTCCTCTGGGGCACCTGCCTGAGGTTGGGGACTCAGGCCGACCTGCAGGGTCCCCTGGGGGCAGAGAAGGGAGATGAGCCCTGCCCACTCTTAACTGCTCCGGCCCTCGTTGAGCTGGGGTGGCCGGTACCTGCTGGAGGGGCGGGAAACGCCTCTTTCTCCGAGCTTAGGGGCTGATACAGGAGGTTCGAGGCTGTGGACAAAGGGGCCCGGTGGGTGGGGCCTGAGCTGCGGAGGCGCCCTGGGCACCACCTCCGCGAGGCCGCCCCCACCCCCGCCACGCGTACCCACGGCAGGAGCAGACTCGGGGCAGGCGGGCGCTGGCTGGCTGCCCAGCCCCTCGGTGCTCTCCAGGCCCCTGGGGCTGAAGCCTTCCTGGGGGGCTGCGGTGGGGTAGAAGGGCTTGGGGTGCTGCATGGGCAGGCGGGGCCTGGCAGGTGGGAGTGGAGGCGCCCACCGGAGAGCAGGCTCAGAGTCCTGCGGGGTTCTACGCCCCTGGTTACTGGGGCAGTGGGTTCCAGGCCAAGGCCTGCCCACCAGGTGGGGTTCCGGGGGTGGGAGGGTGGGTAGGAGGCAGAGGGGACACCCAGAGGTGAGAGCCAGTGTCACCTGGGGGGGCAGACCCTGGCCTGGCCTCTCCTCTCTGGCAACACTGTCCACTGCTCCAGAGCCATGGCCCCCCAGCAGGAGCCCTGACCTCACCTGAGGCCCACTCCACCACCCGCTGGCAACCTGGTGGTCCTGGCCTCTGGGCAGCACAAAGCACAGCCCCACCGGACCCTCGGGTGGCCGGAGGCCTGGTGCATGAGTGCGTTGGCTGGGAAGGGCTGCCGGCCAGGAGGGAGGCGGGGGCGACCGGACAGCAGGGGGTGCTGGCGAGGAGCAGCCGAGCCCAGCCGCGGAGAGGCCTGGGCTCCCAGAGTGAGCCGTGTTTATTGTCTTGCCCATGCGGGGGCCGGGGCCTGTGGGCCACTACTTGTACGCATTGGCCTTGTGCTTGGGCAGGAAGACGAAGCCGGGCGGCACAGGTCCCAGGAGCATCTCGCTGTGGGGAGGGCAGGGGTCAGACCTGGGGCTTGGCTACCCCGCAGCCCTCCCCAGCCCCACCGCCCGGGCACCTGATGCGGATCCAGTCGGCCGCCTGCTGGCTGGCCATCAGCGTCTCCAGGTAGTCGCGGCCCAGGTAGTAGGGTGGCCGCTCGTTGACCCTCTGCGGCAGCCGCTCCAGCAGGCCCACGGGCACGTACCTGCAGGGACGCAGGTCAAGAGGAGCCTCCAGCCTGGGCCGCCGCCCCCCAGGGGCCACCCACCTGCACAGGAAGGACAGCCACTCCAGCAGGAAGCGCCGCGTCTTCTCCACGCCCTGCGTGTCTGAGCCCCAGTGCTCCAGCCCGTAGCTGGTGAAGTCCCTCAGGATGTCCAGGCGCTCGGAGGACGAGATGTCCCAGTGCCGCTGCTCCTTGATCTCCGTGAACAGCCACGGCTTCAGCAGGGCCCCGCTACGGGGTGGGGGTATCAGCCTGCGGCTGCCTGGGCCCTAGGCCACAGCCACCAGAAGCCCTCCCTGCTGCGACTCCCCTTGCTCCCTGCCTGTCCTGGTCCCACAGGACCACAGCGGGCCCTCACTCCCACGCAGCTGCCACTGGCCTCGGGTCCTGCAGGGAACTCACCGGGCGATCATGACCCCGGCCACTCCCGTCTTCAGGGCGCGGTTGGCATCCTCGTACGACAAGATGTCCCCATTTCCTGACGGGACAGAGAGGGCACCTCGGGAGCTGCTCTGGGTGATCCTCACCACTGGGTGGCCCCCATCAGGGCAAAAGAGGTGCAGGTGGGTGAGTCTGATGAAGGGGGTGGCCTCAGGTGGCAGGGGGATAGAAATGGCTTTGGGGCACCCACCGAACAGCGGCATGGGGCTGGCGGCCTTGGCGCACTGGGCGATGTACTCCCAGTCGGCCAGCTTGGTGTAGCGCTGCTCCCGAGAGCGGCCATGGAGCTGAGGAGGCAGAGGTGGAGATGCAGACATCAGGCACACAGGTGGCCGTGGGGACAGGGGCCGTGGGGATGGCGGCCACAGCCCAGGCTGGGACCCACCGTGATGAGGGCCGCACCCCAGTCCCGCAGCTCCGGCAGCAGGCGGTGCGCCAGCTGCACCCGCTCCTGGACGCCCGTGCGCAGCTTCACCGTCAGTGGCACGTCCAGCACCTGGGGACAGGAGGGAGTTGGCGGGGCTGGGGACAGGCCGGGGACAGGCTGGGGACGGGCAGGGGACGGGCTGGGGCAGAGCCAACCATCACGCACCTGGCTCATGCCGCGGACGATCTGCTGGAACTTGGCCGTGCGGTTCATGAGCGCGCAGCCCCCGCCCTGGGGAGAGGGAAGGTCAGCCCTGCCCACGCCACCGGCACCGCGACCACCCAGCCCTGCCAGGACTCGCGCCACAGCGACGTCTGCGGCTATCCCCCCAGTCTCCAGCTGGCGCGGCACCTTCATGACCAAGTGGGGGGAAACCAAGGCACGGGCCCGGCCACCTTACCTTCTTATACACCAAGTCGATGGGACAGCCAACATTGATGTCCACAAAGTCCACCTCGATGGTGCGGCCCAGCAGCTCTGCACACCTGGTCATGGTGTCGGGGAAGGCGCCCTCCAGCTGTGGCACAGCAGGAAGACCCCAGGGCCTCGCACCTGGGGACTGCCACACGGCCATGGCCACCCGCCCTGGCCTCCCAGGGGGTGGCAAATCAACCACCCTGCTGGCATCGTCTCTGATGCACCAGGCCTGCACCAGGGCCACTGGGCTGTCACCCGGGCAGATCCTGAAAGTAGCTCTGAAACCTGGCAGCCACGGGGCCCACCCCACCTCCTGGGCAGACGCTGACCTGGACACCGAAGATGTCCTCGCACTGGTGGCGTTTGAGCAGGGCCCACTCGGACATCTGGCCCTGCAGCAGGTTCGTGCACACAGCCATCTCCCCACATGTCACATCCGCCCCAAAGCGCTTGCAGATCCGCCGGAAGGGCAGGTTCCCACACTGGGCCACCAGGACACAAGACATGTGAGGCCACAGCGGGCAGGGACCCCGGGGCCCGGGCCAACCAGCCCCCTCCTCTGCCAGGCCCTACCGTGGTGAGGGGGGCCAAGTACAGCTTTCCGCTGATGTCCAGCTGGAAGGAAGAGACCACGTGAAGGCAGACTCCCCCACAGCCCAGGACGCTCCCCTGTCCTGCCATCCTGGCTCCTTTCCACCCGGGGCTCCTGCAGGTGACGACCCACCCTTCGTAAGACTCCTTCTTCGCCCCACACTCCCTGTGCTGGAGAGCTCATCTCTGACCACCACACCCCAGCCATGATGCCCCTGCTCTCAGAAGCCTTCTGCGTTGCCCCCCTGCCCAGCCCTGGCGCTCCAGGGCGGCGCTGTGCGGCCAGCTCTCCTGCCCGCCACGCTGAGGCTAGCTGAGGCTGGGCCCAGGCTGGAGATCAGAGGGGAAGGTCAGTGGGGCTTCTCCAGGCACCTGGCTGTAGGCGTCTAGCACAGGAGTGACACAGCTGGTGCCCGGCAGGCGCGTGCTGTGAGGCCAGCCCTGCCGCCGCACCGTCTGCAATGGGGCCTGGAACACACACCCGCTTCTTCTCACAGGGCCGCAGCCTGACCACGTCCTCGTCCGTCAGGGGCCCGCAGGTCTGCACAGGGCGGCTGGGAGAGCAGCCAGCGTCTGGCCCAGCGGGGGCCTGCTGGGCACCACAGTCGCTCTGCCCTGGGGTGCCCTCGGCTGTGGTGGCCTCGAGGACGGCACCAGCCGAAGGGCCTGGCAGCTGGCCCTGGCTCAGCTGGCGCAGGGCGAGCTCAGCTCGCTCGAAGCGGATCTTGCGCTTGCGCAATTGCTGCTGCAGGGCCTTGTCCAGGCCGTTGCGCACTGGCTGGCGGTGGGCCCAGTCTGAGGCCAGCTCCTCCTGCACCAGGTTCTGGCCCTCGGGCCCCAGGTGGGCCCCAGCGAAGCGACAGGTCACACCATAGGGGCATCTGCCGAAGGTCTCGAAGAGCACACAGCGGGGGCCCAGGTCGGCCGGCTTGGTCTCCAGGTAGCGGCTCACGTCGTGCAGGAAGCGGCAGCGGTCACCAAAGACACACTTTGCAGCAGACTCCTGTGGAGCGGAGGGAGGACGTGACAGGACCAGGAAGGCTGCTTGTGCGTCCCAGATCCCCGTCTTGTTTGTGACCTCAGGCACGGCGGCAACCTCCCCAGGACTCAGGCTCTCCGTCTGTGACTGGGGACCAAGAGCAACACAGTCGGTCCTCGACCTGCCAGGAGGTCACCTGCAGACACCCATGGTAGGTTAAAGATGCCCCATGTCCAAATCATGGGGCCTGCCTCACCACCAGAACTCCTGGGTGGCTATGGGGACCATGGAGCATCGGCCTTCACCTTTCCAGCCTCGGGCTGATGGGACCCAGCATCATGTGACTGTCACACCACTCACAAGAGTGTCTCATGTCACAAATCAGGAAAAGATCAAAATTCAAGTCTCAAAGTGCGGTTCCTGGGGAATGTGTGTGCCTTTCTCGTCATCAAAGCTTAAGATCAGAGGCTGAGTCACCCCAAGCTGCCGGCTATACTTACATTGTGACGGGATCCTGAGGATCAAATAGGGACTGAAGCCCCCAGAACCTACTCATGGGGTCATGCTCACCTGAATCAGTGAGGGGCAGAGCCTGGTCTTGTCATAGTGTGTGGGCTTCACGTGGGGCCGGCCCTTGTTCTGGCCCCGGGCCCTTTTTTGGGCCTGTGGCTGCTGCCCCGGCTCAGCTGTCTGCTCCGCCTGCCCATCCTCCGCCTGCCCATCCTCCAGTCGGATCCTCTTGGCCCTAGGCTCAGCCAGGTCATTGCCATCAGGGTCTCCTGCCTCCGATTCCTGCTGGAGCTTCTCCCCTTTGGCTTCCAGGAAGTGGTGAAACTGTTCCTTGGTGGTGAGGTATCTGCCAGCAGAGAGGGAGAAGAAAGGGGACTCGTCAAGGAACACTGGGGTGAGGAGGCTGAGCACTACCCCTGCTTAAATGCTTCAGTTGACAGAGAGCTCACTACTGAGAAGCAGCCAGCTCCCATCCAGGGCTAACCTCAAGGCCAGAGGGAGAACCTACTTTGTTCCTGGTTCCCCACTCCCCTGAGCATCAGGCCTAAACATAAGTTTTATCAAGCGGGAACATCCCTGGCCTAACGTGGGAAACTACAAGTCCCAGCATGCCTTGCAACGAGGACCAACCCACCTTCCAGCCCCACAGACACTGCAATCCCCAGCATGCCCTGGGGCATTCGCGGCGATGTCAAACCCCCTCCGCAACAGCGACTGTAGGTGCACACGCGCCGTTCCCACCATACGGAGGGACTACAGCCCCCAGCACACACTGCGGGTCTCGCCTTGAACCCCGCCTATCCAGCACGCACGTGGCCGCCGCTCACACAAGTGACAGCCTCAGACGCACACCTCTACGGGTGTTAGCCTGACCAGTCTGCGGGTTATGGGCGGAGGAATAGCCCGGACTGAAGACTGCAAGTTCCCTGCTCTGGACCGTGCCCCACATCCGGGCATGCGCCGCTTGGGCCGCACTACGGGTACCGGGAAGACTACATAAGGTGCCCCCTACTGCTCTGGAGACTCACTGAGATTTAATGGGCGCGACTCCCCGTTCTGACGCGCTGACTGCTGAGTCGCTGTCACCTCCACTCTCTGCTGGGGCCTTCTTCGCTCCCTCCGCCATCGACAACTCAAGGCCGTTGTGGAATGTGGCAGACAGGCCTTCCGGGTCGCGCATGTGCTCCATGGCCGTACAGGGCGAGTGCGCATGCGCGCAGCGCTCCAATGACGCTGTTATGCGCGCCTGGCGTCACGGGGCGGAGCCAAGCGTGGGCGGGTCCTCGGACGGGCTTGTGGGTCCGAGGGAAGCCGAAAAGGGTCCTCAAGGGCTTCAAACCTGGCACCTGCGGGCCGCAGGGAGTGTTCTGCTCTGCTTTAGAAAATATAAGTTCTATGAGGGGGAGTGGCGGGGAGGAAAGTAGTTCCCAGTCACCTTTTCTGTTTTTATAATAACCGGAAGGCAGGAGCGCAGGGCTCCCAAGTAAGGACAAGGAGTTGGCAGCACGGTGCCCCCACGGACGGTCGCACGTCGTCGGCGCGTACTGAGGTCTCTTACTGGGTCCCGTAAGTTTGTACAGTTAGCGCACGTTAATCAAAAGTTTAAGGAATGTTTAAGGAGAACTTGCTGCCTACCCTGATTTGACCATCACATACTGTACATGGGTCAGACCATCACAGGGCACCCACATGTTTGTACAATAAAAATAATTATTTTTAAATGTAATTTTCACTACTTTTAAGTGGGGCGTTTGTTCAACAGATAATTAGTTGACAATTTATGTGCTAGATGCTCCCTAGATGCTGGACATACAGCAGTGAAGAAAACAAAATCCCCCTGAGCTGGCGCAGGAGTTACAAAGACAGTGAACATGATACGTAACTACCCTGTTAGTAGTAATGAAGTAGGGAAGGGGAATTGGGGATAACACTTTTGGTGCTTGCACATTTTTAGTAGGGTGGTCAAGGAAGGCTTCACCAACAAGGCCATATTTGAGTATACTCAGAAGAAGTGAGAGTCATAGGGCTATTGAAGGAAAAAGTGCTCCAGGCAGAGGGCATAGCTGTGCAAAGGTCCTGGGGCAGGACTGGACTGAGCATGTTGGAAGCACAGCAAGGAGAAGGAGAGGTTGGGAGAGGACAGGGAAGGTCATTCAGGGTCCTTTGGGCACAGGGAGGACTTGGACTTTGACACCCAGGGATTTGGGAGCCATGGAGGATTTTGAGCAGAGGAGGGATGCCCTAGTCACCATTTGCCACTGCCCCCATCATGCCTGGTTATGCCCCCTAAGGTCCCCGATTTTGAAGGAGGCTTGTGCAGTGGAGAGCTCAGGTTCTCCCTGAGTTAGACTCCCTGCCCCTCCCTCCACCTGCCAGGGGGGAACACCCTGCAGCTCTCCCGTCTCCCCTCAGCTATAAAATTGGGCTGATCAGAGCACCTCCCCCAGAAGGAAGGGGCTCCCGAGCAGTAGTGCAGTAGTCAGACAGCTGTCGTCACTGCGTTGTTGTCACTGTCCTCGTTTTCCCTGACTTCCGTCCAGGAATGCCATGCGTCCCTTCACCACCTCACACAGCACTCAGAAGGCTTGCGCTGTCCACAGCAGGAAGGGGCTGCTATGCTTCTGGTGTGACAGGTGGTGAACAGGCCCAGAGACAGAGGGATGTCCCCAAGGCCACCACAGCCCCAGCAGCAGTTTTTCTAGGAGGGTGGAGACAGGGGAAGGGTCAGAGCTGCCGCCCACCTGGGGCCCGACACCTTCTGTGGGACACAGTAGGGTTGAGTGTGGAGGCGACCAGCTCCTCCTCCCTCCTGGGGTGCCTGTCCCCTGCCTCTGGATCCTGTCACTTGTCCCCCACACAGCTTCACAGGAGACAGTGGGGGAGACAGGCTCAGGGAGGCCTGCCTCTTTCTGGCCAGGAGCCCATGGCTGGCTGTGGACACCAGGGTGGCGCGTTGGCTCACCACATGTACCATCCACACAGTAGGACGATGGTGGCATGACAGTGCTCACTTGTCCCCCGTGAATGGTTGTCAGTGCTTGCTGCGGGCCAGGCCCTGTTCTAAACATTGATACCCGACTCTGACCTTTGTCACCCGCAGGCCACAGAGGGCCCCTGAACTGCACTTGTCTGGCCTCCCTAGCCTCAGGCACCCTGGACCTGGGGAGACCCCATGTTGTCCCCAGGAGACTGCCCTCCTGCTGTGGCCTCAAGCCTCCAGCCCCTCCTGGCCTCCTTCCCCTGGCCTCCGCATCCCCAAAAGAACAGTGGTCTCAGCACCTCACCGTGTCCTGCTGTCCCCAGCTAAGGGCTGCCTCACCACCCAGAGCCAGAGACCAAGAGGATACCTTCCTGCCTCTCCCCCCCAACAGCCGGTGGATCTCACTTTCCCGCCAGACTCTCACGGCCATCCCCGCCCCTCCCCCCTCCAGACTTCCATGCTCCTGTTCCAACAGCCCAGCTCCCCCTGCTCCATGGGAAACACGATCCCGGCAGAGGATGCACCTGACGTGCACGAGCCCCAGGTTCAACCCCTGGCACTGCAAAATAATAATAATAATATCGGGCAAAACTGACCAGGCCCCTCCCGGCTCCCAGTCCTTCCCTGGCTCCCTAGTGCCCTGCCTGTCCCATTCCCTAAGCTCCCGCACGGCCCAGTCCTGCTGCCTTCTCCCTGCTTGCTCCAGAGCTCTCAGGAACCAGTCCTCCCTCTGAGCCTCCGCATGTGGTTCCCTCTTCAACAGCACCATTCCCTGCTCCCAGGCACCTTGATCTCCCCACCCTTCCCCCAGAAGACTCCCTGACTGTCCGGACGAGGTGAGTCCAGTGCCCGCTCTGGCCCTCTGGCTGCCTGGCCCATGATCACCTTCCGCACAGGACTGTGAGCCCAGAGAGGGTGGGGTTGGGTCTGCCTTTGTCACTCTGTGTCCCCAGCACCCAGCACAGGCCTGACACAGGAGGGGGCTCCATGAACACTTGTCCAGGGGAAGCGGCTTTCCCCAGCTGGAAATGGGGCACCGCGGGGAGCCTTCCCTGGGAGTCCCACCTTCACTGCGCTGTGGCAGGGGCCTGAGGGGTTCCTTGAACCTTGGGAGCATGGGGGACATGAGGAGACGTCACCCAGGCTCATCCTCCCAATGCCTGACCTTGACTGAGGTCAAGGAGGGAGGCTGTGACCCTGGGCCTCTGAGCTGGTGGAGAGAGTGAGGGCCAGGTGGGGGTGGGACAGGCCTAGGGACCTCGCAGCTGGCTCTTTCTTCTCGGCTTCTCTCTGCCTCTGTCTCTTTGATTCTTTCTATTTCTGTCTCCAAGATTCATTTTGCTCTTGCTCTTGGTTCTCTCCTCTGCTCCTCTCTGCTCCCCTCTGCCCCCTGCCCTCTTCCTGCCTCTCCCTGGCTGGACAGCGCTGCAGGGCAGGTGCAGCCCGGGCTCCATGCCCGACACTGCCGCAGCCACCCCGGATTTGTGGCTGCGACTTCTTTATCAGTGGCTGCAGCTGCCTCTTATCTCCTGGCTTCAGGACAGGAGACTGGGATTAGGGCAGCCCGGGCTAAGGACACGAGACGGCAGGGCCGGCCAGGCAGCTGGGCGGGCAGCGGTGATGACAGGGAGCCAGGGTGCATGTGGCACACGCGGGTGAGCAGTGGTGTGCACACTTCCATCGGCTCCTGTGTGTCCTGTGTGTCTGTCTGCACAGCCCTGCAGGGCCCCACGGGCCACCCGCAGAGCCCGGCCCCGCCCCCTGCCGGGACTGCTGCCTGATGGCTTTCCCACCTTGCTGACCTGAGACCCCCAGGGATGGGGCCCTCGACCTGTGACCTGAGGCTGTGAATGGCCCTGTGGGGACAGCTGCTGGCCCTGTTTTTACCATCCTGGCCTGGAAGGCTGGCTCCTTCCTGCCGCCCACAGGCCTCCTGGGCTCCATCCCAGCCTGGCTGTCTTCCCCTCCGGCTCCCGGGCCCTCGCTTGACCCCCAGCCAGGAGCGTGTGTCCAGCTCTGGGGACCCTGCCAGAGTTGAAGTGAGAGTGATGTTGAATTCAGCACCCAAAGCTGAGCGCTGAGGAGGACCAGGGCCAGTGGCGGCAGCCTGGAGTCGTCCCACTGATCCAGGCCAGTGCAGGGGACACTACCCAACTCCAAGCGCGGATCTGATGGCACAGGGAGCCGTTCCTCAGGTGGAAGAACTGAGGCCCGGGGCTGTGCACCAGCACACTGCAGGATGAGGACGGGCTCTGTGACTAATGCTCGGGCCAGAGGCAGCTGGAGGTAGAGAGGACACTGAGTGCCCAGCCACCTCCAACCCTGCGGAGCCGGTCCCTGGGGGTCCCAGGGTGCAGCCCCAGGCCCTCTGGCCCTGGACCAACTCCTAGCACTAAGATGGAAAGTTCTCCACCAGCCAAGTCTACATCTTGGCCAGCGGCCGCTGGCCTCCCAAAACTGGCCTGGGTCTCCACCCCTGAACAGAACACTCCCCTTGGGAGCAGTGGCCTCCCAGGGAGAGAAGGGGCCAGTCTTGGGGGAGGGACAAAGAGGAACATTCCAAAGTCATCCAGTCCCAGGTCGGAACCCCTTCTTTGCTGCGTGACCTGGACCTGCGTCTGGATCTCTTTGATCCTGGGGTTTCCCAACCACAGAACGGGCACAGAGCAGGCTGTGGAGGAGGGCGGCGTTGCCAGGAGCTACCAGGGAGCCATCGGCAGAGGTGGTGAAGGAGCGGAACTAATTTCCAGGCAAACACAGGGAGGGCAATCAGGCTCTGGGGCCTGGGTTTCAGTTACCCTGGCTCGCACCCACCCCTGCCTTGGCCTTGACCCTGGCACCCTCCTGAAAGGAGCAACGTGCCCAGGGCTGTCCCTGTGCCTCCCCAAGCCTCAGTTTCCCCACTCCTCTGCTCTGGGAAGGGAAGACCAGGAATCCCACGGTGGCACAGACACTGGGAGATTCGAGGCCCAGCTCCACCCACCCCACCCTGCCCAGCCCAAGTCCTGACAAGGAAAGTTTAAAAATAAAGCGCAGAAACGCCCTTGTTTCCTGCTAGCAGCACCAGCCCCTGGCCTCGCAGCCTCCTGCCCAGCGGGGCTCTCCCTTTCTTGGAAGCGGTTGAGACCCCAAAGATTGGTCCTCACAGAGGGTCTGTAGGTTCGAGTGGGGATGGGCCCCGGCCTAGCTGGGGGTGGAGAAGTTCTGGAAATGAGGTGTGACTGTGCACCCCAGTTCCTGACTGTGCTGAGTCAGCGCGTGTGACAGACAGGGCGCTGTCGG